TCTTTCCCTGTAAGCCTAGGTAGCACATATTGTAGTATTTATGGGGAAAAAAATAATAATAAAAAATAAAACTAAAAAACATTTCATTTTTGCTAAAAGTCATTGTAACTGTAATTGTAATCCACAGTCAGAACTGATTGTTAATGGTATGCTGCAAATCCTGATCTAATGTGTCATAATTGTATTATGCTGATGTCTTTCATCATTTCAGTTCACATATTTTCAGTACTGAATAATGCCTCATTTTGTGTTGTGAAATCTTAAATGGGACTTGTCACTTTCCCAAATATAGAAGACAGTCTTAAAACTGGCATCGTAAAATTAACACACAAAGGCAGAGAACTGCAGAATTTTTAACATTAAATTGAGAAAAGATATTAATGCTCCCTCTACTACTTTATTTTCAATTACACCATCTAAGGGGAAACTAAATAACAGAACGGGTGTAGAATACTTTAAAGAGATCACTTCCAAATCAGAGGATCATTACTACATGGCACTGTTGAGAGCCTGTGCCAAATGAGCTGGTGCCCCCGCAACAGATCCCCAGGACAAATGTCCCAAATGTGTCCAAAACCACTTTCACAACTAGACCCAGACCAGCTTTGCAAACTAGCCAAAGGAGAACAGACACAAGAGGCGGACACACTTCTGCTGTCTACTGAACCGTGTGAAAACAAGGTCAGCTAGAGCCAACCGAAACAGTGCGTTTGGGACAGGGAGTATTTGCATTTCAAGAAGCCCAACAAGCAGCTCAAATATCTAGGCGCCAACACCCTGTCTTTGAAGAAAGAGCTGAAAGCGGATCATTCTATGGTTCCTTTTAAGTCCTCTCTTAAACACAACACAATAACATTTTGAAAAATGCAAAGAAAAAGTTTTATCCTGTATTTGACCATTTTATGCCCAGTTTTAAAAGCATTTTGTCAATATCTCCAGGTAAGTTTCATTACTTTAAATAATACCAGAAAACTGTTTTTTTTGTTTTGTATGTAAGCTGCTCACTATTGGAGCAAAAATATTAAAAATGCTTAAGTGCAATTGGTTATATTTTGCACTCATGCTAGAAAAATGCTTATTGAGCCAGAAAGTTAACAAGAAAGTGAAAACATCCAGAAAGCAAGCAATTTCACTATATGCAATGTATTCACTTTACTGCTTAAAAACTGTTTAAAAATGAACACGGCATGGTAGAGTAGTTTGGCAGTAAACATGATTGTGCATTTGTGTCTTGGTATTGAAGAAGGAGCCTTTTTTCATAGTGAATTTTTCATTCAAATCTAAGTGATGATTTACGTTAAATATAGGTAAAGCACAGCTACGTTTTCCTGAAGGATTGCAAGGAAGTGAAGAGCAGTACAATAAGTTGAAGCATAAAAGCTTTCTCTGTCATAATATTTATTATAATGGCATATAAAATAGCTGAAATAAATAATAGATGACTAAAAGTAAATTCATATGATAAAGAATCTTTCAGCAGACACCATTACTTCTGACTGCTCCAGTTTCATACAGAGTTGAAGAGTCCTGATAAATATGCTGTAGCCCCTGTAGCTCATGGAAGTACAAGTCATTTTGTAAGGGCCTGCTTAAAATGTAACATAGTGGACACTAGATAATTGACTGTATAATTTTCCTCTCAAAAAATATCATGTATATGTATATCTTCA